CCTCGGGTACCGCGGGCGATATTTGCCAACCAGGACCAGTCGATACTATTCGGGTTGCTGTAATCGGCGTGTGCGCATTTCGAGGAGACCGTGTCGTTGATCGCGGGACAGTATTCAGGGATCTTTTGTCTGTCCATCGTCTTCGGGTAGAGACTCTCCAGGGGCCCTATGGAGTATGGGCTGTCGAAGGTATCCGGAGACATGTTCCACCAGCCCAGCTTGGGAAGTATTACGATACCAGAGCTTGCACCAGCCAAAGTTGCTGTAAAGAAGCTGGCAGCCATGAGTATTGCCATCCAGATTGATGACAAAGTCAGGTTGTGAATTTGGGTCAAAGGGGCCAAGAAAGAGGAGCTGAAGAGATAGAACGGCGAGCTCAGCTGAAATGGTGCGGTGAGAAAGCCAAAGGGAATTCCCTCTGAGCCGACGAGTTTTCGCCGGATATTAGAATAAAGGATTTGGAAGAGCGAGGCGATGATGAGGGACTCGTGGACCTTTGCTCCCACCAAGAGAGCAGACGAAATATTCGAGTTTATATCAGGCCACTCCATCCGAAGCCCATGTAGGACGAAGAGGGCTATTGTGATGGCTACTGATGGGAACTGGAACACCAAGAACTGGCCCACCGATCTTTCAGTGTCAGTGTGAAAGATTCTCTTTCGGGGTTCCTCGTTCTTTTCCTTGTCCTCGGCGTCTTCGAGGTCGTCTTCTAGTATCTGAATCCATTCCAGCTGTTTGCTGTCTCGCTTTTTGCCTAGTCTGGGTGGCAGTCTAGGTGGTGGTCTGGGTGGAAGCTTGGGCGCTGGTCTGGGTGGTGGCGATGGGAGTCCACTGAGATCATCCTGGTCGTGGGAGTGTCTCTGGAGTGAGACATCTTGGCTTGACATATTGCTCATCAAAGTAATAATGTTTTTGTGTCTGTACAGCATGGATTTCGGCTCTACAACGAAAAGACGAGCTTTTGTTCACATCATTGATGATATACTTCGCGCCGAAAGGCCTTGGCGGCTAAAGCGGTGGGTGCTGTGCCACGATCGCGGGTTTCATCGCCGCACAAGCCTCGAATTCAGCGAATCACAGCTAAGACTGTTGCAGCTGGCCTGGATACGGTGCCACCTAAACAGGGGCATACGAAGCGCTATATTCCTTTAAACAGTACCACCCCACAAATGAGAAGCAAATGCTCTGATGTGCAAAGCTATGGATTAATGATATGTCCTCATCGCCTATAAGCGGAGTAGTTGGTAGCCGTGGAAACCCCTATAGCGCCAGCGTAACTCATGAATATCTTCGGACGACAATACAATAGGGCAATGGCTGCTGCCCTCGGATAATTCTCTGTATGGAAATACGCGGGTCAGTGTCACCTTTTCAAGTCTTGTATATTCTACGGAGATTTTTATTCCTGTTTGAATTAGGTGACTTGCTGACTTGCAGCAATGTCACAATAATCACATGTTGCATACCTGGTATCTACTTGTACTTACATATCTACCAAGCAAAAGAAATAAGAAAAACAAGAGATAACAGATTCTAGTTGTCTTGAAAACATAGCTCTCTTGTGTGGCGGAGACTGAGATGGTGTGACTGGTGCCTAGAGGCGTAGTGGTGCTTTCTCTCATAGGAGGAATTCCGTTGCACAACCTCTACTCGGATTCCTTCCCAATACAGCCATTTAGGTGCGGTGGCTTGTGCTATGATTTGTCCGTTGAACCGTGGATGCCAAGCTGATCAATAGTGGCGGCGGCTGAGGCGACATCATGTTCGGTCTGGTCACCCAATGATCAACTCTATCGGGATAATGTGTCATCAGACTGGTTATCCCGATGACCATGAATACAAAACATATGAGCGTAAGAGGGGCAGTCTCCGATGACTGGATGGTGTATAAAAACTCGATCAGAGTCTCTGTCATGCTGTCCTACATTCTTCATTCCATTATTGCTACTTATAGTACCTATGTTAAGCCACTACCTTTCTTTACACACATACTAGAAAAGGACATAGAACCGCAACATACCTTTGACCTAGCTCTACCATCCTACTTGAACCATACAACATGACATCTCAGCAACCCCTTGTTAGAGAACCTCCTGCCGGACCCCCCAGGATTGCCTTGAAGCTTACCCCTGCTGGCCACAAGAAACAGCAGGAAGACCCGAACTTCATTGCTGAGCTCATCAACACGGCTGAGAATGGTCGGAGCGGGCTCGTTCCCAATGTCAACCCTCTGATTCCCGAAGATCATCGTCCTGCTCATCTTTTCCACCGTCTCGCCGCCGCTGCTGCTTCGGACCCCACTGTTGACCTTCCCAACTTCGATGTCTGGTATGAGGTTGCTTTGGAAGGACAGTCAAGCCGCGCAAGCATCGAGACTGAGACTGCCACCACCACACAGACTCCCGCCGATGGTGGAAATCTGTCCCTTCCCACGGAGACTCTCGAGCTTATTCATAGGCTTCATCGCCTCGAGGAGGTCGAGAGCGTTCACGCGCTTCTTGCTGGCCCCCCCCCTGCCGTGAACCCTAGTGATGACCCCCGAAGTGTGAATCAGGGATACCTCGGTGCTGCACCGGCCGGCATCAATGCCCGCTATGCTTGGGGCTTTCCTGGCGGAGATGGCCTGGGAGTCAACATTGTCGATATGGAACAGGGATGGAAACTTGACCACGAAGATCTGCAGGCTGCTGGCATCACTTTGATCTCAGGATACAATGCCGCGTATTACTCTCATGGAACTGCCGTGTTGGGTGAGATGCTGCAGGTTGACAACACCATAGGCGGAGTCGGTATCGTTCCAAGGGCCAAAGGACGTGTCATTTCCCAGCACCGACCGACAGGCTACAACACTGCAGCGACTATTCTTGATGCAGTCAACAATATGGCGTTTGGCGATATCCTCCTCCTTGAAGCCCAAGAATTTGATCCGGTCGGGGGGCAGTACTATTGGCCTGTGTCAGTAGCTGACGCCAACTTTGATGCAATTCGTCTTGCTTCTGCCCTGGGCATCACTGTCATTGAGGCAGCCTGCAACGGCGGATATGACCTTGACGCCTATGTCAATCTCTCGGGCAAGTACATTTTTAACCGCTCAAGTCCGGACTTCAAGGAGTCCGGCGCAACCATGGTCGGTGCTTCCAGTTCCACCGCACCTCACTACCGCCTCTGGTACTCAAACCACGGTTCCCGAGTTGACGTCTACGCCTGGGGTGAAAACATCGACACCACCTTCACCGACGACAACACCGGCACCGACAACTCGTACACCGACTACTTCAGCGGTACCTCGGGTGCTTCCCCTATTATCGTCGGTGCAGCTGCCGCAGTCCAAGGCATAGCCAACACCTCTCTGGGCTACAAATTCTCTCCCTTGCAGCTCCGTCAAATCCTCACCACAAACGGTACGCCCAGCAGCACCCCCTCCACCGACCGCATCGGAGTGATGCCCAACCTTCGCGCCATCATCGACGGCCGGTTCATCAACCTTGCCCCGGACCTCTACATCCGGGATTACATCGGCGACAACGGCGGCGTCCCCTCCTCTGGCACAGTTTCCAATTCGCCCGATATCATCGTCCGTCAGACCCCCGTTTCCAACCCCCAAGCGTTGTTCGGCTCAGGGTCCGGAAACGAAAATAACACCTCCCTTTCCCAGTCCATTCTAGCAGGCCGTGATCACAGCATCTACATCCGCCTCCTCAACCGCGGGGGATCAGCAGCTCAAAACACAAAAGTGACTGTTTATTACGCTCCCGCCGCCACACTCATCACCCCCAACCTCTGGACTCTAATCGGAACAGTCACCCTTCTCTCTGCTGTCCCCACAGGTCGGGTCTTGACAGTGTCTCCTAGGTTAGCCTGGCCAGCGAGTAAAGTCCCTGCCGTTGGACCGGGCGGGTACTCCTTTGTCGCGATCGCGACGACCGATAAAGACCCTGCGACGGTCCTGCCTACGACTTTCCCCGCGTTTGTGGAGTTTGTGAGCAGGAATAACAACGTTGCTTGGAAGAGCTTTAATGTCGTTGCGGCGCCGAAGGCGGGGGCGAGCAGGTTGCAGGTTGGTATTGCTGGGGCTTTTGATGCGCCGAGGAAGTTCTTTATCAGGGGGGTTGGGTCGTTGCCGGTTGGAAGTGAGGTTAGGTTGGAGGTTCCGACTGATTTGGCGAGGCAGTTGGGGGTTGTGACACCTCTGACTGAAACTGAGGATGCAAAGAGTAAGGTGGTCACCTTGCCTCTTCATCCGTTTGGACGGGGTGAGATTGGCGAGGGGATTTTGCCTGTGGGCAGTGTTAATCAGTGCGAACTTGTCGTGAAGGTGCCTGAGGAAGATATTAAGAGAGAGGGCCAGTGGGAGTATGAGATTGTACAGGAGTGGGAGAGTGTTGAGGTTGGAAGGATCACGTGGCGGTTTGAGGAATATAATGATAAGGGAGAGGAGGTGCAGTGAGAGGTCAAGTTCAAGTAGCTGGAATCCTTTCAAGCGGTGATTGAGGGTAGGTAAATTACCGTTGTGGAACACACAGTTAGGGTATTTCATTGTAATGAACTTCTCGATTTCTAAGCCATATCTTCTCTGCAGTATGCAGCAATAAGTAATGATGGGGCAAGGGTACGAAGGTCGGTATTTGTTATGATACAGCTTTTAATTCTTATGTTGTGCCTTAGGGACCGGTGATTCGGGGGTTCAGGGGCTCAGGAGCACCTCACTGTAGTAAGGGGAAAGTTTGACAGCAATCCGTCCTTGAACGCCATCGTCAACCCCCTAGGTTCTGCCACAGGTTCGCTACGACCTGCTTTCCGTCGCCATCGTTTAGTCTACTACTGAAAGAGCATTGTTCATTCTGAGGGTAGCTTTTACAGTGTTAAAAAAATTATTCTGTTGCATTCAGCGTCACGCAAGCCCAATCCGGAGCAACACCCCCCGAGCCAACTCCACAAACTCCACCTGCCTCCTCCTCAAATGAGTCAGAACTCCACCCCTTTCTTCAACAATTGCCCTGGGACCAGTAGCTCAGGGGTAGAGCAACCGGCTGCAGTCCGGTAGGTCACGCGTTCAAATCGCGTCTAGTCCTTTCCTTTTAGTTTTGCTTGAAACAATCACCGGTGATCCTGATGACCTCGTCAACACAAGCGAAGAACAAAAGGAAAGGTAATGACACCTGTGAGGCTGGTTTGTGAAGCTCCAATAAAACACCATTGTGATATGTTAAATGTTTTACAGGGTCACGCAGGTTGTATCTATAACACGTGAATGCGGGCATATCTTCTTTCTATTCTTTTTCTTCACAGTCTCCTCCCAACAAGATAATTTGCATAGAGTAACCCCAGAGTTTTGGTGTGGGGAGTGGCCAGCCCACACTTGGTGAGATGGGGTGCCACAGCTCAGCCGATCCAGCTACACAGGGGTTCTGGAATAGGAGAAAAGTATTAGTACACATACATACCTGAAGACGCCACAAAAAAGGTGTCATAGCCGCAAGTATAGTGCTGATTGGGGTTAAATCTGTAGGGGCAACGCTATCTACTACCGATCATGTCTCAGAGTGCCCAAATTGGAGTTTGCCAACGTGGCCGGCAAGCATTCACTTTTACTTCTCCAAGCCTCTCTAGTAGTTGGTAAGCTTAGCAGAGGTTAGGCAACCATCAATGACATCTGTGGCTGTAAGAGACTGTCAGGAAAATGAGGGATTGTCCCTCAAGCCTTGAATATACAACAATATAATGGCCAGGTGAAAAGATTGGCAGCTAGGTAAAAGGAATTCTATAGGAGGCGTCTCTTCATACAACAGATTTTCAGTCTAGAAAGTTACCCATATCAATCGCTTGAACATACGACATAATATTAACTATGATTTCCATCCGTAAGCTCATTATCGTGGCCGCGGCCTTACTCCTACCCTTCCCGCCTACCGTTTTCGCCGTTACCTCCACCACCGTGGTAGCCTACCTCGCCACCTTATAAAGCAAGTCCACCGCCCTCCAGACTCCAGCTCGCAGGGTCAACCTCATCAACGCGCAACTATTCATCGGCAATGCCAGGTTGGCTGGGTCCGTTCCAGGAGTCGGCGTGTTGCCACCGCTCAACATCGCCAGGGGACTGTCCTGAGTGATGCGAGAAGAGCTCTGAAGGTAGCTAAGCACTCTTTTCAAGAGATCTATATGATGCTGCCACTAACATCATGGCCTTTCAAAGACTTAAGCCGCCCGCCTCGTCACATTGGTTGACGCCACTACCGACCCGCAGATCCAGGATTCTTGGGCGAAAATCAACAGGACATACAACGTCGCGTAAAATTATTATCGGAATGGGAACCGGCTACAGAACCGGTGTTTATACACTGGGCGAGGCGCAGATGCACCAAAATGGCCATCAGGATCGCTGATATAGGAGGCTTGCAATAGAATATACAAACGGTTTCAGAGAAGCAGGCCAGGCCGAAAACCACTACATCCACAAGAACTTACGGCTATCGAAAGAGCTGCCGTAACTATCGGCCGGTTGGTCAGCCAAAACCAAAGTCAAGAAGGGGGGCCGGGCAGGCCATTGTCTTCGAGGAAGCCCTTGGCAAGGAGAACAAGGAAAGCAGGGGGAGCAAGGGAAGTAAAAGAAGCAGAGGAAGCGATGGAAGCAGTATATTGAACGTGGGAAGCCCGATGGAAAAAGAAAACCGAGGGCCGGACACCAAGGATAGCAAACGAAGGACCACTGGACCTGCTATTCACTGATCAAGTGCTAAAAAAACACAGCAAAACTTACCAAAGCCCAAAGCTCCCTATTAGTGCAGGCCCACACCGGAGTAATAGGTCTACAGGACTTCCTGTTCAAACAAAAAGTCCCAAGGGTACCCACACCCTATTGCAGCTGCGGAGAAGGACGGGAGACGGTCGAACACCTGGTTATATGGTGCCCAACACCACCGAGACCTAGAACCTGGCCAAGAAAGATCATCCGCACCCATCGGGATCTTAGCGTTATACTTCAGGGTAGATCTCGGAACCAACGGCTACTGAGAAGGATCTTAGGCTGGCTTATGGATTCAGGCCGTTTATTGGAGTACGGTTTAGCGAGAAAACTAGAATTGGAAAAGCCTGAAGAGGGAGTAGACGAGGAGGAAGAGGAAGAGGAGGAACAGGAAGAATAGGAAGAAGGGGCGGCTGAAACCGAAGTCGAAGACGATCAGTCTTCAAGGCCTTACACAAGGCCTTTCTCTTATCTTGCAACTCTCTGGAAGCTTTTAAAACTTTATCTTTCCTTATATTTTCCGATATAGGTTTTTCACCCGGTGTCACACATCAACCACCCTGGCCTGGAGCACAACCAACAACACAGTGAGTTGAAAGCTCTGAGCCAGTTGTTGGAAAGTGAAACGAGCGACGGGTTACCGGTAGCAGCAGCAGAGGCATTATTGACTCGTGTATAATCAGAGGGAAGCGCCGGGCTTGGAAGATGCCCAAGGTTATCACAAGCACGGACCACTTTGAGAGAGATAAATACATGAGCAGAAGAGCAGAGCAGTGGGACGAAAAGATTCTTTATCAAGGATCTTGAGGCCACTGAAGATTATTAAAATGAATTGAACCTATGTTGTTCCAAGCCCTGAACACCAGCCCTTGTCACACCCGGCCTACACGGCACGGTTTTTCCTATGTGAATAGCAACAGAAGGTCCGGCACACTCTTTAAAGAAATGGTAGAATGGTGTAGGAATAATAATAATATATAGGGGAGATAGCACATAGCAGTCCCACCGGACTCAAGACCCCCGAGTGACGGGAACAAAAACAATGCGATTGCTATTCTTTCATGACTTGGTGTCCTGAGTTCCTTGATCGATTCATGGGTCCGGTGACATGGACTCGATGCTCCGTATGCTCAAGTGCCCCATCTGACCCAAACGAAGGAATTCCTCAACTTCACAAGGCCACGATATCCCGATGTCGCTCTACAAATTCCCCAACAGCCTCCACGAATCCTTCCAGCTCATGCTCCTCTGTCTCGAGGGTTAACGCCACAAAACCCCTCCTCGTCGTCCAGAATCCTTCCTCCAGCATCTCGAACCAGAACAAGTCCCTCAAATCCCTCCTCTCCTTGTCCTGAATGTCTTCTCCACATGTAATAGACTCTAGAGATTTATCCACAAAGTGCACCCCGATTAACGACCCCTTCCCTGTAAATAGTATCTTCGTCACCTTTGTCACCTGCATCAATCTCTCCCTGAGCCTATCACCCCTCTGATTAAGCTCGACACAGGCCTCCTCTGTAAAAACTCTCTTCAACGCCTCATAGCCCACACTCATGACCAGAGTGTTGTTATTAAAGGTACCCGAGTGTGCCAGCGACCCTTCCACTCTGGGGTCATAGACAGCCATTACCTTCTCCCTCCCGCCGAACGCCCCAAATGCCAGCCCGCCACCAAGATACTTCCCCATGGTGACCAGATCGGGCTTCAATCCCAACTTGACTCCCAACCCATAGGGTGCAAGGCGAGAAGTCATCACCTCATCCAGGATGTACAGGGCTCCAACCTCGTGTGCGGCGTCCTGGATGGCATGCAGGAATTTCTTGGTACCTGGGATGCAACCGCCGGCGCCTTGCATCGGCTCAACCAGTACTGCTGCAAGGTCGGGAGTGGATTTAATGGTGCTCACCGCAAGATCAACATCGTTGTAGCGGGGAACAACAACAAAGTCGTCCTTGTCAACGGTGTTGGGTGCTGGTTTGCCGTTGGGAAAGCTAAACACGGCGCCGTGATATCCACCGGAGAAGACAACAACTTTTCTGCGTGAGGTGAAGTGCCGCGCTCCAGCTAGGGCATGCATGTTTGCTTCCGTGCCCGTATTGGCCATGCGGACGCGTTCGAGTTTGAAGCGGGAGCAGAGGAGGGCGGCGTGTTTGTGTTCTTGGACGGTGGTTGAGCCGAGAGAGAGGCCCACGTTGTCAAAGGTGGATACAATGGTTTCGCGAATGACGGGATTGGAGTGCCCGTACAGGCCGGCGGTAAGTTCGCCGACCAAGTCGAGGTATCTGTCATAGGGTTAGCAATGTGCGAAGAAAAATCTGGAGCTTGGGGTTTGTATGTATGTACTTATGGCCATCTTTATCCCAGACATAAGCACCCTTCCCCTGCTTCATAGTCAGGGGAAAGGGGGATGTGTGTAGAAGGGTGCGTGTGTTCCCCCCTGGAAGAACGCCGACGGCGAGCTCATGCTGTTTCTTGGATAGGGGGTTGTTGGCGATGAACCTTGCCTCGGCAGCTTCCAGCGCTGTCTTGGCCGCATGAGCTCGCGCAGGACTCATCTTGCAGGTTTAATAAGAAAATGGCGTCCTGAAGATATCTGTTGTGATCAAAGGGAAAAAATAAAAGACGGCGTCTCGATTTTGAGGGTGCTTCTATCTAGTGCGAGATACCCCTCTTTGATCGGCTCATGATAGGGGCATTTCCGGCCCACTTGCCGAACGATCCTGGCCAAGGCTTGTATGCTCGGGCCGAGAGTTCCTAGAGAAACTTCACCAAATGGAGTCAGCCGGGTGGCCAAGGAGTCCACACATGACTGACAGTGATGGCCATGGTTCTTCCCAACTCAAGCTGGTCGTGCTTTGAGAGAACAGACGCTGACAATCGCAGAAGCCCATCGTCGGCATACCGAAGAATGCACTCTCCGAAACAAGGTGGCAAAACCTTTTCCTCGCGAAACCTGGATCTAAGTTTAACCCCGATTGTCGAGAGCATATAGGGATTGATGTGGTCACTCCACTGATACTCTAGTCCCTCTATGTTGTCGTTTCCATTTTGTAAGAGTGGGAGAATCCATGAATGTGGTAAGTCATCGACACGAAACATGTGCCTTCCCAGGACGGGCCAGTGTTGGGTGCCGATATTTTGATCTCGACAAGGCCGGTGAATCCGTAGAATTTAGACGTAAGGAAGCAAAGACGTTGTGAATCCCAGAGGTGTTCTGGATAACATCTCGTGGCGAACTTGAAGCCGAGTTCAAGTGGCCTTGGGTTGTCCCACTTGAAATTAATGGATGACGTCAAAAGGTGTGCCTGGGGATGATAGAACGAGGTCGTA